GAGGAGAACGAGGCAGAGAACGCAGGCTGTGATGAAGGACAGTTTATCTCCGTTTCTCAGTATGCATAGCATTCTGTCGTGATCCACATAAATGTTGAATTTGGAGCCAGAGGCGGTAAGTCTATCATGTTCCAGTTAGAGGATCTGGGGCCCAGAGATGTGACGGGCCCAGCAGCTCCCAACCAGCTCGGAACTTTACCCCATATCGGCAGCCTGGTGTTAAATGAAAGGACACTGGAAAGCCATTTCAGCACTGACTCAGCGGGGCCCTCCTCGGGACAGGAACCTAGTCTGTCTTGTTTGCTGGTGTGGCCTCAGTGCCTGGAAGGGTGCCCGGTGCCCAGCAGTCACGTGGCAAATATTGTTTGAATGAATGAATGTTCGGCCAGCAGTACTGGCTAAACGCTGGCGGGAGGACCCGCTCTCCAGCCAGAGGAATTGGGGAAGGAGGCCCCAGCCTTGTTGGAAGGACTCTGCGTCCCCTGGCACCTTTTGCACTGCCATCCACCCCACACCTGACTTTGTTCTCAGGTGCCCGTGGGTGAGATTTAGGGCGGATGTGCTTTTTTGTTGTTGTTGTTGTTTTTATTTTTTAACATTTGTTCATTTTTCGAGAGATGGAGAGAAACAGAGTGTGAGCGGGAGAGAAGACAGGGAGGCACAGAATCCGAGGCAGGCTCCAGGCGCCCAGCTGTCAGCCCAAAACCCGATGCGGGGCTCGAACCCATGAACCGTGAGATCATGACACGAGCTGAAGACGGACGCTCAACCAACTGAGCCACCCCGGTGCCCCAGATGTACTTTTTGCGAAACTCAGAGGGTGGTACAGGTTGGTCCTTAGGGCAGCGCCCAGGCCTCTGTGCTACTGACAGAAAAGGCCTTGGTCACCATGAATCACTCTCCTGAGGGGCTGGGACAGAGGCATCTATAGCCGCTTGCTCTGACGTGTGGGGCTCACAGAAACGGCCCCTGAGTGGGCCGAGTGCCAACTATCAGGTCTATGGGTTTCCTCAGCATTAATCTTCCCAGGGAAGCAGTCAATTTGAAAAGCAATTTTCTAAAGAGACTTTATCAGCAAAGTCAGTGGGGAGGGTGTGCAACTAAAATTAGAAGGAAAAATACAACTGGCCTGAGTGTCTGCACCAGGCCAGCCGCGTGCAGTGAGCAGAGCAAACCCAGGCCCGCTCGCCGGCCAGCGGTAGCCGCGCGTCCTCTGAGGGCGGAAGCACAGGCTGTCCCCGCCCTTCCCTGCACCCACCCAAGAGATCTGTCTGCTCGGCTCCTTCAAGGCTGTGGCAAACTTGGAATTTTAAGTGAATTTGGAAGTAGATGTTAAAACCTGACGTGAATGCCAGAAGCAGCACGGGGGAGGGAGAGAGAGAAGCATGTACCTGGCCATGAACCAGCGGTGGGACCTGTCACTGCCGTGTGGAGTGCAGTGTCTTCCTGTGTGAGGAATGCCCACCTGTTGAGTGTTTTCCTGTGCCTGCCACGGAGCGGACATCTTAGACACCCAAGAAAGGACGGCTGTTATTAATAGTATCATTACCCTAATAAAACAACTGTAGCGCAACTAATTATTTTTACACGGTTGAGGATTCAGAACACAGGTAGCAGGCCACAGGTTCCTTCTGGGAAGCAGTGCTTATTTCTAGAGGTGAGGCAGTGGGCCACTCATTATTTGCAACAACACGCAAGGAAGTTACAAGCCATCCTCAAGCCCCCGAGTTGACCTTCTATAAGACTCAAACACGAGGCTTCTGTACATACTCCCTCAAAGTTCAGAGAGTAGCTCAAACCTCTCGATGGGTGCCTCATTTTCTGCAGCGAATGAGTTCCAGAATGTGGCCTGTAGGACTGTTTAAGGATCTCAGCAGAGTCTCCTCTTGTTCCACAAACAACCATCTCCTATTTCGACCTATAAATTAACTTTTCCTGAGCAAATAAGGATTTGCTTTTCCTTCAAAATAAGGATGGATTGTATTCCTTTTCCTCTCATAAAAGCAATACATGGAGAAATACATTGCAGAAAATACAAGTGGGCAAAAACAAACAAACAAACAAACAAACAAAAAACGGTGGTAAGAAACCTCTGGAGCTCCTGTTCCTCTGCTCTGCGGACGCCATGATACCCGCCGAGAAGCTGACCTCTGAGGGGGGATATGGCGTTCTTTCTCTTCCAAGCTTGCTACTTTTAATTCACACAGGGCTTTTCATCTCATTTCAAAGTGACGTAGCATTCCAAGAAGAATCCACTGGAATGTTCCCTCTCTCGGGGGCCTGGTCGCCATGCATTCAGTGGGCAGTTCACGCGGCAGGGCAGGAATGGCAGAGTTTCGCAAGCAGACTCCCCAGGGGTACTTGGAGTGGACTCCATCCCCCACGCACACCCCAGCCCCAAGGCTGCTGGGACAATTTGTGAATCCTAATACAAGCGGTGTGGTTGTGCCCACTCCAATCTGTCTTCTGCTTTCCGAGGTGAGAGCAAAATGCGCATCATCTCTTAGCCTCCTCCAGCCCTTCTCACGGATACGCTCTCTCATCCCTTAGGCAGAGCAACAGGGAGCCTGTCTTCTAGTTTCCCCTCCTGCAGGGAAGGGGGTAGCCGAGAGTCATTTGTCCAAGCTCAAAGCAGCTGTGGAGGGAATCTGGCTAAGTCATGGCCTCTACTGAAGCCCCCTTAGCCATGGTGTGCTTGAAGGTTGTTTCAGGTTTGGTCCAAAATGGATTTCTCCCTTTCTATCCTAAGAGCTCATCTCGGCCCTGGAATACCTTCCTTCCTGTATGAAGGAGCTTGTTGTTCATTTACAGAAACCCCGTTGCATGTGGGCGGGGGGGATCTGATGCCCAGCTTCGGTGGCCATGCCATCTCTGACCCTTAGCCAGTCAACGAAATATTTCCAGTGTCCCCCCGGGAGCAGCAATGTCACTTTTCTGCCAGGGTTTCCACGAATTGGCTTGTAAAGGGACTGTCACTTAGTGAACTCTTGGGGAGTCCCAGAGCCCCTGAGGCTCAAGTCTAAAAGGAAAGCCTCCATTTGGGACCTGCCTCTTTGTCTGTATAGAAACTCAGAAGTGGAATGTGGCATTGCACTCATATCTGAGGTCTGGACATTCCAGGAGCCTCCGGCAAGGCGGCTGGGAGACCTGCCAAACAGGATCCACAGTTTGACAAAAATAGAATGTGCTTACAACAGAAGCCCGAGAGATTTTCGTGGTGATGGTGGTGGTGGCATCAGGTTCCAAATGAACATATGCAAATAATTTAGATCTGTGCTCCCCAGTATGGGAGCAACTAGCCACAGGTGGCTATTTAATGAAATCAAATAAATTTAAATTAACCATTCAAATTAAATTTCATTAAAAACTCAGTTCCTCACTCACACTCGTCAGGTGCTCGATAGCCACATGTGGCCGGTGGCTACTATATTGGACACTACAGATACAGAACATTTTCATCATTGTAGAAAGTTCTAATGGCCAGTTCTGGTCTAGGCGTTTGTAATTGTACGATACATGAGTGTATGTATGTATTTTATCTGCACAGCAATTCTTCAGTATAAGAAGTAATATCTCCATTGTACAGGTAAGGACAATGAGCCCAGATAGTACAGATGCTTCGCCTATGACTGGACCTTCATTCTACCCACATAGCTCTCTACCTATAGGCAGGAGCCCAAATGATTGTTGGTCGTGTATTAGCTTACCCACTACGTTTCTGACCCTATTGTGAGTAAATACATCTTTTTTAAGAGATCTAGGTAGTGGCCTTCCATACTTTGACCTCCAAAGCTGACCTAAGGCTTGCTCTCCACCAAACTGGATGATTTTCCCAGAGTTTGGTACACCACCTCCACCACCATCACTGGATCTCCATGGCCAATGGATATTTCATGCATCATTCAGCATCAACATCTATGCAGAGTGTATACAGCAGCATTCCATGAAGCTATTAAAGCATATATTTTGAAAGTTCCTCAGGAGAGTACTGACTTTATCATTGAGCTACAGGGTAAGCTTCGGCAAGCCCTCCCAGGTTTGTGGCTTTGGTTCCAAGGGTCATGCAGAACCAAGGCTGCCTCTGAGCTGGGTGTGTGATCATCTTTTTGTAGATGGGCTCTACAAGACGTATGCTTTAAAATGCCCGCCATTTTATGCTTCAAAATAAAAATCTTGTCAAGGGAGAATATTCACATAGGGAAAACCCCATGATCCAGGCACTGTGCTCTGTGTTTTCATACATGGTCTTATTTAATTTCATAAAACTCAACTATAAGGACAGTGAGACTTCAAAGTATTTAAATAATTTGCCAAAGCTCTCCTGACCAGTAAGCATAGAAGAGAATTCTAACCCAGAGAGGTTTGTTCCTGAAGTCTGGAGTCTTTCCATTAGACCATGCCGTCCTCAAATGTAGTTTATTATGTTTCTGACTCAAAAACCTTTGAGCATCTTGCCTTCAAAGGAGGCCATATCCGGGAAGAAGATTGGTTGCATGGGAAGTCAACTGAGGAATCTTTCACTAGGTTTAATTAACCCCATTTCAGCTTTCTCGATGATAGTAATAATCATATGAGCAATAACTTCTGTTTACCAAGATACTTAGCACTTTAAAAGAAAGGCATTATGAGCTCCTGTCTCAGCCTGGGCTGTCCCAAAACAGACCCGGAAGTGAGACCTGGGTGCTGACAATGTTTTGAGAGATGACCCCAGGAAGCACAAGCGAGGAACGGAGATGGATGAGCCAGTCAGAAGTGCATTGATGAGCGAGTTGTCACTGTGGGCAACAGGCTCAGTTCCACTGGGGACATTGAGTTGTCCTGCTGAGGAACAGGGAAGCCAGGCTATTTATCTATGGCTTTCTAATCCCAACCACTGGTAGAGAGTTGTCCCTGAGTGGTTAAATCCCTGACACTTTGGGACTGCCCTGCACCTTGGCTGAGGAAGCTCCCATGATGTGGGGGGAAGCTCCAGGAAAGAAGGCGGGAGATGCTGATACCTGAGGTGGGAAGCAGTCAGGGCAGCCACAGGTGAACTCAGAGGTGACTTAGAAGTGAGAAGGGAGTGAACAGCATCCACTACACCCCTTCCGCACAGAAGGTTCAGAGGTCATAGGTAAGGTGTTCGGGGTCACACCGCTGGTCTGTCTGATCAGCCCCAAGGCTGAACCTGCCTGGTACCTGCACCTGCCTTCAAAACCCCAAGTCTAGTGTGCCCACACTTACCATATCTCCTCACTTTGCCCTCAGGAAAATACCCTCCACTGGCAAGTTGGTGCTCACCCTCACGACCGACGCATGTGAGGGGAAAGAGAACTTCGTCCGCTACCTTGAGCACGTCCAAGCTGTCATCACGGTCAATGCAAGCAGGAGAGGAGACCTGAACATCAACATGACTTCCCCAATGGGCACCAAGTCCATCTTGCTGAGCCGGCGTCCGCGGGATGACGACTCCAAGGTGGGCTTTGACAAGTGGCCTTTCATGACCACCCACACGTGGGGGGAAGACGCCCGAGGAACCTGGACCCTGGAGCTGGGGTTTGTCGGGAGCACCCCCCAGAAGGGGGTGCTGAAGGAGTGGACACTGATGCTGCATGGCACGCAGAGCGCCCCTTACATTGACCAGGTTGTGAGGGATTACCAGTCCAAGCTGGCCATGTCCAAGAAGGAGGAGCTGGAGGAGGAGCTGGATGAAGCCGTGGAGAGAAGTCTGAAGAGCATCCTGCGCGAGAACTAGCACCGCGCCCGGGCCGCCACCGCCTCCCCCCCTCCCCCATCTCTGCCTTCTCTGTCCTCCTTCCACACTCTGTCAGGAGCCTCGCAGTTACTGTCACCCTCACACAAGCGATCCCAGCCTCCCGATCTGAAGCTTCGCTCACTGTCAGTGATTCTTTTCGTTACAATGGCAGCAATCTTTTTCATTCTCGGCCCCAAATACAGTGTTCCCACCAACACCTATGTCCTATTTGTGACTCTAAGCTCTTTGTTTGTGTCATTCAAATAGGTGGTAGCCAGCAAACAAAACTGGGACAGCTTTCTCCTCCATTTTTTTCATATCTGAGAAGAGACTGCTTTGAAAAAGCCACGCACAGTGACTCCAAGAACGCTTATTCATGGTCTCAACCGAGGACTTGTTACATAAAAAGAAAAAGATTATAACAGAAGGTGAGCTCTGAATCGCTAAAGCACAACAGATGCCGTCGATCCTTTGGGGGAAAATGTTTCGAGCTTAGCAAGATTTTTCAGTGACGTAGATGGTGGTTATGATGCGAAAGGCGCCATCCGTGACAGCCCTGATTACTGGCTGGGGAAAGAAAGAGTCAAAAAGCATGAGCATTGGAAATCTTAACCACCAACACCAACAGGTGTTGTCCTACTCAGCCAGCGTGATACGTGTAAAACCTGCGTAGCTTGGCTGTCCTTTTCACCAGCTGCTGCTCTGAGTTATGGTAAAATCTGCTAGAGAAGCCCAAATTACTCAGTTTGTATAGAATTCATCCCAGCCCCAATTTTCTGGGGTTCCTCACATAGCTATCCAAAAGAAAAAAAAAAGGCAAGGCAGGTCTGGCAACATGTCTAGTAAAGAATAGCTTAGTAGCTTAGAACACAGGAACGTTCCTTTTCCCAAAACACTTTGGGGCTTCTTACTCTGATGTAAGTGAGACGTGGGATGAGTATTTTTGGCACACAAATACTCGGGCGTTGATTTCCAGAACACATGGTTGTGATTTCTTTGCTGTGTTGGGGAAATGGCCTGTGTTCTAGAAGAGGCGTGTGAAGGGTGAAAAGGGGCATGTTTGAAGATGTGGACCTCCATTTGTGTGAAGCCTCTTCTGCCAAAGTGGGGGGGGGGGGGGGGTGGGAGGAGGAATGCTGACTCATCTCTCAGCCACGTGAGGCCCCGAAGGAAGCCAGAGAAGGCCTCCATAGGGAAAGCACACAGTCACCATGTTGACAGCTACGCGATCCATGAAGATATTCAACACGCAACCCAAAGGAGACAGGTGTCTCTCCCTGCCCCCCAAAGACACAGCACCATTTCATTACCAAATAGGAATGCTCTCTGACCCGTCATCCCTTTGTTTTTCTACCCAAGGATTGCCCCTCATCCCCAGTCCCAAGGCCCACCCATTCCCGAGAAATGAGTTATTTGTTTGATTTGATTCCCAAGAACAGGTCAACCACTCCTTCCCATGGGAGCATGTAGCGAAGCTCGGAGCGCCTTTCCTTTAAAGCCAGCAACACAGGGCACTAGGTTCCGTTCCCTGAAGGTGGCAACTTTAAGAGAAAACTCTGGAAAACCCATTTTCTTCCTCCCCCCCCCATATTGGCATGAATTTCTGTCTTCTCTAACACCGTCTGACCTTCTCTATACGATGCTTTAAAATGTAATAATATTTATGATTTTTAAAAGAAATTTATTACCTGTCACGAAGGTCTTTTTAAACCACTTTAGATTTAAAGAAAAAATTAATGGAAACCATCAAAAATCCATTTCATATTAACAGTCTGAAAATAAACCAAAGGACATTATGTGTGCATATGTGTACAAGTGCACACAGAAATATATATACATATGTAGACTATATACATGTGTGTATGTATGTGTATATATATATACACTTGTATAAATGTATATACACACATATACCTAAAATGTGTGTATGTGTATTTATTGAAGAAACAGACACCATATTCATCTCTAAAAGAATATTCAGAGACTATCAAGATGATTCTGGCTGAAGAAAAAGGCCGGTGGAAATTCAGGTGAAAATGTTCATTGATTCCCATTACATCACCTCTGTGATTTTTGCAGCTCTCTGTATAAACATTAAATGTCTTATATAGCAGCAAAAATATAAAATAGTTGTCCATATTTTCACAGCTGTGGTATAATTTATGAAATTAGAGAGTAACTTATCAGCTTCTTAATAGAAATGGCAAGTTTTGATATGAGTATACAGTATATAAAAATATATATAGTGCTATATACAAATATTTGGTCTCTATTTCATTTTTTGCACCAGTATTAACACACAAATATGTCCAGCTAGTGAGGTTTTTATGATATCCCTGATCCTAATGCAAGAGACAGTTATTTATAATCATTTATTTTAAAAAATGAAAATAAGTGAATAATGATTACTCAAGTTAACATTGTTACTCCCCATGACAGGATTTTTTAAGTAAATTTAAAAAGACATGTTGTAAATTAGGAGACTTAACAATAAAGCATTACCTTCCAGAAATTATGTGGGATGTGATATATATTCTATAAAAACACTTTCATCTGTTCTAGGAGCAGATGATAAAAAGTTGCCAAAGAGAGAGCTAAATAAAAAGCCTGCCTTCATAAATTTGCCTGAGAGATTCATAATTAGAAAATAAATCATATACAAACTACAATCTACAGCAGCATTTTTCAAACCCAGGTTACATCCCATTAGGTTGTAAAAAAATTTTAGGGAGTCAAAACCAACATTTTGGAATAGAATAAAATAGAATAGAATAGGAACTGGAATAGAACGGAATACATCATGCATATCAGTAAGTATTTCTTAAAATATCTGCCTTGAATGTGTGTGTGTGTGTGTGTGTGTGTGTGTGTGTGTTGTGTGTGTGTGTGTGTGTTGGCTCACAAGGTAAAATATTTCTAATTGTGGGTTGTGGCCAAAAATCTTTTAGAAAGACTACTCTAGAATGTATTCATCAAGCTAGACTGAGTTATGCTGTAATAACAAACAGCCCCAAAATGTCAGTGGCTTAACACAGCAAAAGTATATCATTCACACTAATTCTTCTGAGGGTTCAGGTGACTCCCCAAGGCCAGAGACTCGGGGATTCAGGCTGCTTTGATCTTCAATCTTATGGGTTGTGATCAGAACACAAGACTGCTAAATCACTCTACAGAAGAGAACCCATGGAGGACACTCATCCACTCTTATGTTCAGCCTGAAGGAGATTTACACATACAGTAAAACCTTGGTTTGTGAGCATCATTTGTTCCAGAAATATGCTTATAATCCAAAGCACTTGTATATCAAAGTGAATTTCAAGAACCATTGGCTCATGGTGATCATGTGACGTTCGGCATCACGTACTACTCATATTGCAAGACATCGCTCATGTCTCAAGTTAAAATTTATTAGAAATGTTTGCCCGTCTTGCAGAACACTCACAGAACAAGTTACTCACAATCCAAGGTTTTACTGTATACCATTTGAGCTACTATGCATTGGCCAGTACTGGTCAATGACCTCTACCACAGATAAAGCTTGACATTCTCTTAAAATATAGTAAATACTGATTTACATGGCCAACCTCTCTTCATGGATAGCCATGAACAGCATTACAAAGTAGCTGTAACCATGTAACCACACGCTATTCTAGCAATCTTAATAGTTATTAATAAAACATTAATGTATTTTTTTATCATGGTTCATTGTAAAAACAACATTTAATTTTCTCCTATGATAGAATGCTTCTCAAACCCAATGAGTAAAATCTTTAGAGAGGCCAAAAACAGCCATTGAAAGGAGTAAGGTCCAAAGTCTGAGGTTGTGACAAACCGAGACACTGCTTTTCAATACTTAAGTCCAAAGATTGATTTCCAAAAGATTAAGTTAAAACTGATCATTCTTATTGTGTTATTACTGTACTGTCATTGTTAGTATCACTTATAAATTAGTAAGAGTAGCTTTCAGGTGATCAATGCCTTTCAGCGCAGTGAAAACCACACACTATAAAACCTTTGGGAAACGTAGCCAAGCATTTTAATTTTTTTAATGTTTATCTTTGAGAGAGAAAGAGAGACAGAGTGTGAGTGGGGAAGGGGACGAGAAAGGGAGACACAGAATCTAAAGCAGGCTTCCAGCTCTGAGCTGTCTGTCAGCACATAGCCCGACCTGGAGCTCGAACCCACAAACTATGATATCATGACCTGAGCCAAAGTCAGATGCTTAACTGACTGAACCACCCAGACTCCCTGAAGCATTTTAGATTTAGAGAGAGAAATGCTCAATTAGGGGAACTGGTGCTCTCATAGCCAGAGTAAGTTCTTGGATGCAAAGAGTTTAATTTGATAGAAATTTCTAAAAATCAAGATGCCAAGATTAAAGACCATGGTTGTAAGAGAGAATAAAGGGTTCCAAAAACTCTGAGAGTTTGAAGTGACATCAGCACCAAGGAAGATGATTTGGTTGTAGCCAGCTGGGTGGTTCTCTGTCTCCAAAGAAGGGGTCAATGCAAAGTTGGGGGAAGGGCCAGCACTCAGGACGTGGGTGCTTAGGGAAATGGACAGTCAGGAGAGCAAAAGTTGGCAGACAGGATCTAGAGGTGTTAAGCATAGGGAAACACACAGGCTGGTATAAAGGAGAATTCTAGTCTCTGAAGAGCTCAAGTCTGTTGAGGACAGAGCCCACTGCACAAAAAGCTATCCCCAGTCAACACCATCCACCTGCCAATGGTCAGATTCCATGGCCACCCACAGCCTCCTGTGCCTTATTTGGCTTCTCAAGGACATTGACACAGGAGAGGGGATAACCAGTATAGGGGATACCAGCACCTGGAGCTCTAGGGAGAAAGGTCGCTTCTTTGCATTGCAAATTAATCAAGTAGTTCTTGAATTCTTCCCGTAGTCTCTTATGTATTTAGTTGCCAAGAGACCCTTTCCTTGGGTTCAAAACACTCCCGCTGAATTTGCTTTTGGATTTATAAGGGACCAGGAATGGAAATTTA